GTTAGCTTGATATACACTGATAATTAAGAAAAGGCAAATTCAACACTGGGAATTGTTAGAAAAGAAAGAACAAAACGTTATTATGCCAAAATGTGAATGAGGTGAAGGATTTGTATCAACGATTGTGTGTGCAGTTTTTCAACTCATGACACATCCCTGGAGGGAAACATGAAACAGAAGCATGCATGGAGAATTTCACTTTACTCCATGGGTCTCTCTCTCTCCTGTGTATCCGTACTCAATGACGACATTCTCTGAAGTAGAAGATTGGAGCCATAACTGGAAAACACATTATCACTAGAACATGCTTTCAGAAGTTACAACTGAGGGAACAAATGGGATAATGAGATTATTTAGATTACAAGTAGGTTATCACCAGGTATGATGCATCTCTGTATTTTAAGGGAAATGGTTCTATAGCTCGGATGAAATTCTGCCTAACATTCATTCCAACAGACTAAAACATCAAAACCGCGTACCTTGAACAACTCGGCCTATCCAAGCAACTGGGAACAGCAGGTGCCTGCTCAGAAAAGACTTAATACTAAAGTCATTAAGAAAAAGAACCAAACAGGCCTGTTTTCCTTCTGCTCTTGCACAGGTAGGACAGGTCCTGTCTGGCAAGTTCTGCTTCCAGCTCCTTTGATGAGAAGGGTTCAAGTACCAGCAAGCCATGGCTGGTAACAGAGACCCAAAAATGGCAATCTTGAAGTACACCCATTTAGCACTGTGTGGTACCTGCTGGAGAACTCTTTTGCTTCACATTGACCATATAGGGAATTTAAGTTAGGCACCTTAACGAATAGGTAATTTTAAGATTTCATGCCTTGACCCATTTCAAATACGAGGCATATGTCACTGCTCAGCCATTCCTGCCACAGGAACAGGTTACTATGAAGATAAGACGTGAATTTGCAGTCCATCAGCTATCCCACAGTAATTGACTCTGCAGAGTCTTTTTGGGTGTATGCTGACAGTGCAACTCACTTCACAGCCGCTCCCTGCTTCTGTGGGACAGCAACATGAACCTAACCAGATGCACCACCTCAGCTCTTCAGCAGTTCATTCAGACCTCCACCTACCTTGTACTTTGAACAGGTGCTCTTATCCTGACAAGGCACCTCATCCACAGGGTAACATCTACCAACCACCCTGAGATATTCATTTATGAACTGTTCTCTGTACAAAATTGCTCAATTTGCTGATAGATAGCAAATGGTGCTAACAAATAAATTACCCGCTGCCTGCCAACAGAAACCGGTGGTGACCCAGGTCATCTCAGAAACTGTAACAGTTTTTCTTAAGGAATGATTAGTTGAAAAACAATACTAAAGAGGCAATAAGTGCTATTACTAAATTCATTGTGTTGTCATCATTAGGGGAGTCAACTTTCCTGTTCTGTGCTAGTTAGATCAGTTAGCAGAAGTTCAAGAAAGAGGAACATTAACCAAAGTGTATCTGGAGCATTCCAGGGACAGACGGAGACAGCCAGAAGGCATTTCTGAGTACTCATCGCCTATGAAATTTTGGAAACCCCTTAAACCAGTCATTCAAGTTAGGTAATGATATATGGGTTTAATCCTTCCACTCCCTCCAGCAAAGTACAAAGCACTTTGTCAGGGAGCTTTCAACTGAGGCCAAATCAGCAAGTTTGTCTGTTTTGCTAATGCAGTAACGCTGATCTGTGCCTCCTGACAGAAGGTAAGGCTTCCCCTCGCATGTGATTCTGCTCCCCATTCAAAGCCAATGTATTTAAGTACTGATAAAGATGAAATTTAGATTCTCTGATCTTTTTGTGTTAACAGGTGCCATGGGTATAAAAATACAGTGTTGGGCCAGTATCACACCAATTTATGGTATAAAAAGTAATGTCCTCTGGGACAAAATAATTTCCTTTGTCCTGTAATTACTAGAATGACACCTGCAAGAGTAAGCCCATCCCCGGTTCACACCTTCCGTGATTACCACTACCTGAAGTTTGTAAGCCTACCAAAAAGATCATTGCTTATCCTAGATTAAATCCAGAATTAAGTGCTATAAGCACAGTGCACTCAATATGATTGACTTTCACCGTGTTGCCTTGGAGACCAGCAGACAAAAATCAGAGACAGACGACCCATAGTCCTCCTCTCCTCTACCAGCCAGAGAATGTTTCCCAAGAAAGCTCCAGAAGGAAAGATCAGACTCTACCTGCAAATTCTCCTCTATCTTACCTAGAAATAAAAGATCGAATAGGACTGAGACCTCCATTTCCTTTCACAAAAGCTGTAATAGTTACAGACTGAGGTCAGACTCTGTGCTGAGAATGCACATGATGGAAGTACGTGCTACAGCACATACATGACTTGCATGCATCAGCCTAGCAAAGCAACTGCACTGCAGGGCTCCACCCTCCCCTGCTTACACTCGGCCAAAGAACAGCACAGAGAAGGCTGCACCTCGTACTAGCGAGGCATGTGTGTCTGTTACTGCAGACCCCCAGGTCAGAGAAAGGGGGACACACAAAGCCTGACCATCTGTATTTTTCCTGCCCAGTGACAATGTTGGGAGCACAGTTTGCAGCTCAGTATTACACCATGCAAACACCTCCACAAAGATGCAGTGATCTTTAATGTGCATTTAAAGGCTTCTAGTGGAGGGGCTCTAAGAGCAGTGAAGGAATTCTTCAGAGCAGTGAAGCAAACACCACCGATGAAAGCATATACTATCATTAACAGACTTATTTATGGTATTCAGCTCTGAAAAGCAATCTCAGGAGTTAAATGAACGGTCAACACAAGACATCCCTCAAAAAAAGGAATCTTTAACTAGAGCGGCATCAGCACAGTGACTATCCCCATGTTATCACACAGTCCCAGCAAAGCAGAAGGGGAAGTACACTAACGCAAGCAGTGACCAATCCTCCCCAGCAGGACCTTTTCATTGTGGTCAAGAACTATATTGTTCCTAAAGGTACCATAACTCGCACATTGTGAGCTGAACTACGTGCCCTCTGGGTATCTGGCGCATGTCAAGTCATCAAAACATCTTTGTTTTCTCTCAGCTGGAGCTGGGTTGAAGACAGGAGTCAAATTCAAGCAGTTGGTTTTTATTCTGTAGTTCTGCAGAATAGTCCTTTCACTGGGGTTGTCATAGCATACATGGAAAACATTTTTCAGTCACTCAGAACATGGCCTTTGTGGTTGGTTTCTATGTTGTTTTGTTTTTTTTTTAAACCTGTAGAAAGTAAACAATCACATTAGGGAAAAATTAAAAGGGATTAATCTGGCTGATCATATTTCTATCAAACGACAGGAGTCAAAACCTTTTGCTTCAAAGTATTCATCCCCTCAACAACTGCAGAAAGGCATCACGGAGATCCAACTGTAGAAGAGTTGAGGACTTACCTAGTTAGACCCCCCCTTCAACATTTGTATCAAAGACCATCTTGACCATATATTGACAATTGCCTACTATTACAGTAGTCAGCAGGATGAATTTAAATATTTCAATTTTCCAAATCAAGAAATGAAATTAATCTAAAAATATTTTAATGTAGCAAGTTTGGCTATAGAACCAGTGCAACATAAAGAGGACACCCATTGTATAACCAACTTTACTGCTTAATCTTAACAGAGTAAGCTACAGATGCAACGGATTTACCACAAGTTATTTGGTTAAATTAAATACTGCAGTTAGGATCATGCTGTTGGTAATTGTGGCTTTACAGTACCAATGCTCAAGTTGGCTGAGTTAGTTTTACTGTAAGTAAAATGCAAGTTTACAGAGAAACAAAATAATTTAGTATAGTACACTGTATTCTGTTTCATGCTCAGTCACAATGATAACGTCTTCAACAGATAAACAATATTTCAGCATTATGTTAGTAATGCCAAAACATACAGGAATTTTAATGCCAAGTTTACAACATAATACAGTGCTTAACAAACAGATTTCTCAGGTATGGTGGCCAAGTGAGAATGCTACACAGGACGGAGAAGCATCCAAGCACTACCCAGTGCATACGAAGTGAACCACGTTGACAGGAATGCTTTACCTTTTGGTGGAATTATTGTTCTAGAAGTTTGTGTCCCAAACATAATGCAAGGTAAAATGAATGTTGAATCCTTGCCTCCAACATGAAGCTAAAGGGCTACATGTCATTTACAAACTTGAACCAGTAAAACCACTTTAAGAACAGAAAAACATTGTGATCACTTGACAAACATGACAGAGCTTGATTATGGTATTATGTGAACTAGAATGGTAACGAAGTTGTAAACAAATTTTAACCAAATTAGGTTAATGCATCTATTCTTAACTCAAGAATATTGTAATTTCAGCAAACAGTGATTTTTAAAGCTAAGGACACTATCAGAGGTTTTATTTTTGTTTAAAGCCAAAACTGATAAAAATTGTTCCCTATTAGCCTTCATTAACTTCTCCATTGCGTACTTCAGCAAAATTTTCAAAATTCCTGTTTTTGTCTAATTCGGCTTCAACTTAAGTAGCTGGTAGCAAAGTTGAAGCAAACACTATCAACACTGGAAAATCCCTACTCAGAGTGGTTTGGTTTTCCACTGTTGGGGATGAGATTAGACTGCTGGCGTTGTTCTACACAGAAAACAAAACACTGAAGCATTCCTTTTTAATTTTAAAAGAAAAACTTCCTCAAAATTAAATAGGCTTTGCAAATATGCAAAGAAATATATAGGTAAATCAGATTTGAATCTGTCAATCACAGCAGTGTCCTCCTCATTCTTCCTCCCCCCCATCCGCCAAACTAACAGCATTGCCAAACTGGCTGATGTGAAACTGATAGAATTGAATTCATTTACATGAAGTCTGGCTACAAAACAAAAAGAAACTTTGTCCCTGCCGCATCTATTTTTTATCTTTTTCCTGCATTTTGTGATGAACTCATGCAAGCATAAAGGGGGGTCTGTTGGTTTTTTGTGTGTTGGTTTTTATAAACAGGTGTAAGAGTTGTGCAAGACAAAACTGAACAAACTTTCGTTTCACTTCAGAAAGATTTTATATTACCAACTCATTTCTCTTCATAACTAAAGGTGATAAAAATAAATCCATAGTAATAAAATAAAAAAACCCAACCTGTAGTCAAACTGCTTTTTCAAGTATGTTTCTCCCCTCATGAAAGAATTGCATTAGCCATACTACTGATTAAAACCCACGTCACAATCATTAGGATTCAGACCATAGGTCCAGATCTCCTGGAACTGGGCTCAGCTGGATCTCCAGCTGAGTTTACACAAGACTGGAAACAGGAGGCCGATGGGTACACATGCATGCATTACACCACTCCTCAACTCCCTGATTCTGACAACATCCACTATCACACCCCCATCACATCCCCGAAACAGGAGAAATGGCACAGGAGCCACAAAGTGATCTTGGACAGGTACCATCGTTTGCTGATCAGTCAGGTGCAAATCTGGTTTGTGGTGACGGAGATGCACTTTGCAGACCTACTAGACTGGAGAATTTTGCCCACAATGTTTCTACATAGCACAGCATAAAATACATCTTAGTATTTCATCCAGTCTGGAATTCACATCTCAATCTATTGCAATTATGGAAGCCAATGAAAAGACAATGAGAGGGGTTCTACAAGAGTTGGTCCCAGCATTAAACACCAATACGCAAGAAAAATAAAAAGGGACAAGCTTCCAAGTCACTATTCATTGTGGTGATAGGTTCAACTTTTCTTCCTTCTTAAACTTACCTCCCATTAATGCAAGAGAAAAGTGCAACTTTGCAGCATGTTTGTTCATATCAAGTTTTTCCTCAAGAACACATTTTGGAGTAACAAAATATGGTCTATAAAGTTGCAAAGTGCACAAGCTGAAGGCACAGAGTACAAACACATAGGAAAACAGATTTCAAAATACCAAGTAACAAAAAAAAGAGATAAAAGAAAAATCTGGAATTTAAAGCTCCCTGACAGAAGATACGTTTATATGGGACCAACTCTTAAAAGGTGACAATTTTTAAACTAATGAACAAATACTGCAAAATAATGAAACTTTATTCTTATTATTTAAGTAAAAGCTCCAGAAAATACCTTGAAGTTTAAAAACCAATACACTGACGTGTTAACTAGTTTTAAGAATGTCCTTAATATTAAGAAAAGAGTGCAAAAAAGATTCTTCCATTCTAACGCTTTTGGAAGCTGCTGATTTCGGCTGCCCATTTCCACTTTGAAAGGATTGTTTTTCAAGGTGCATTCCTCACAAAAAAAACGCAGAACATGGACTTGTTGAGAGGCCAGACCAAGGAATCATGTCTTTCAAAGTCATCCCAATTGTAGCAGCAACTGACATTTTATTATATGAAGAAGAAAGTCCAGAACTCTTCTTTGAGGCATAGTTCGTGTCAGAGCTTGAGTATCAGCAGTTGCCAAAGGAGGCTCCGGATACCACCTGCGCTCCTCCAGTGTCTGTTCTGGCTAGGAATAGAAGCTGATCCAGTATATTCACTATCTGTACCCCCTGGAGCTTGCACAAGCTGATGAGCCATCTGAAATTACATAAAAAGTTCAACAAATTCTCTCATATTAAACTTTCACCCTACGTCCTTTGCCCCCACTTCCCCCAACAACCTGAAAACCAGCATTGCCTGCAAAACGTTAACACTGTAAACTGAAGCTGATATACCAAGTAAACAGCTATTCATTCATTTCAGGTTGTAATAAGAGTTCATCATAAAACTGCACGACATTTTATGGTAGGAAATAAAGCAAACATACTCTGCTGAAAGCATAGAGAGAAGCTTGGCAGAAAGAATACAATAAGATGAACTGAAGTTAACAACAGCACCAGAAGAGATACTATTTCCCAATCCCCAATGCTATTTAGTGACCAGCAACCAGGACATTGTATTTAAATCCTAACCTAGAATGTATGGGACTAGATTCTCTCCTGGCCAAATATTTAATCAGCACAGAAGATGGGACCTTTGACTGACTGCACCAAAATTAGGGATGTCTGGAGTAGAGCAACCACCTGAGAATGGAAATACCATTCCTCCCTGTGCTTCTTCCCCCCCACCCCCTTAATCTATATTGGGGGAAATTAAGGGAGTTACAAAGTGAAGAACCTCATAGTTAAACACACAGCAAGAGACTTCATCTGCAAATGGGAGAGAACTTCCCAAATACTGCCTTTAGTATCTCAAAGCAGGTGGATCCCGTGTTGTATTAGACACGTAATTGAGGGTTCCAAGTTGAAAAGCACAACCCTTCCAAACCCTCTGTTCTGTCAACAGACAGAAACATGCATCACCAGCGGGTGCTTTACATCAGAGGTGGACTGTCTCATCATTTCATTGCCTGTTATGTGCATCCTGACCAGGCAGAGACTTCAGACAACTGCATTCTTTTTCCTTAAGACCTCAGCTGTACACTTAAATGAAGTGGAAGTACCTTGACCTCGGTAGCTAAGATACCTTACAGGTGGCTGTGGGACTGTAGCACAGTTAGACAGACTCTAGTATCATTACTTAGAACGGTAAAGGTTACACTGGCAGACAGCTAGCTACATCATGGAGGTGCAGCCTCTGACACCTCGCCACCTCCCCGAGAACCCAGAAGCCCACCGCTACCTGTATGCCCAACCCATCAGGGACTGCAGCACACTGCAGGGCAGGGTTAGATGCATACTTACTGTAAGTTAACTCTTCTCCAGCTCTCTTGCGTGACTGGTCACCTCTAAGAAAGAAGGGGAAGAAAGGTATTTTCACTTTCAGAAAAGGAAAACAGTGAAATACCTCAGCACAATCATCAACTTTCACAGACTTTAGAAACAAAATGCAAACATAGGAGCAATAACACATGACTGCAGGATTCTGATTTTACTAAAACAGAAGTATAAGCTATATTTTATAGATTTAATTAGCTCATCCTTTTGTTAAAGATAGTAGGTTCGATTTTATAGGATAATTTTTTACAAGGTGAAGATGAGGAAAAATTGCTCCTATGCAGTGTGGTCTTAAGTCACGCATAAAATTGGTTGAGAAGTTTGAATTAAGGAAAACAAACTTTATAGAACTACATGGAAAACTCTGCATCTGTCAGTCTAAAAAGGTAAGCTGCTCCTGAAAACCCAACAACTGGACTCCAAGCAAGTCTGTGCTGACAGCACTCCCTCTTCAAGCAGAAGATTTAAACAAATAACAAGTTGTATAAACATCGGTTGACATCATTGCTCCTGAAAACCCAAAGTCAAATTCCCATCTATTTGGAAAACATTTTTTTCCTTTTAGTCTTGTGCACACAAACTCTTAAAGCTGGAAAATCTTGCTGCTTCACAAGTGTCTTGTGATGATAGATATGCTATTGAAACTGTTATATAAGGAAGAGAGATTCCAATATATTTTCATCACAATGGTTATAATTTCACATTTATCTGCTGGAAGTTGGTAGAAATTGGGGGGTTTTCTAATAATATGAAGTGTTCTTCCCTGAAACCACTCTTAAGGTGACGGACCTGCTGTGTATGCCTTGATTAAGGTCTTTCACAAGAGAAATACTGCCAAGCAACCAGCTTGTGTTCCCACTTTCTGCAGCAACAGTATTTAATCGTGTTGATAAGCTGAGTATTTCAACTAGAACCTGACATGCCTTTAATGCTGATGAAGACACCTCACTGTGCTGTGTTCCTCATGGTTATTGTTGTAGGAAGTGCAGCAGCAAAGGCATCACCATTTTTTGATGCAATTATAGGAGAACAGATGACATTTCATGCTAACCCAGAAGAGAACAGACTTAGCACACTCCTTGGTAAAAGAGAAACAACGCTTTTATACATATACACATATACATACGTAGGAATATAACCTCAAAACAATTCTGAAAGGTTATAAATAAGTATAACCTATGTTCCTGAACATAGGAAGAAGCATATTACATCTTGAAATACATTTCAAGGCAAAATGCATTTCAAATACCACTGCAAAATGCCATGTAGCAAATTATATCACCTGTACTTCAGTTTTCTTTTACCTATGTCCTTTCAATGATGACAGGCTCTACTCTAACACTTTATAACACCTTCATGTTTACCAGACTGCACTGACTCCCTGGCAGCACAACCATATAAAATATATTGTGCAAAACACATTCACCAGAGACTAAATGCCACCAGTCAGTTACTCCACCGCAAAGTTTTATTTTGCATTTTTATGTAATAAATTGAAAGCAGGCTACATAGAAACAGCAGTTGCACCAAAGCATGGGTTAGGGTGGGCCAATTGTCTAAACCTACAAGACATACCAAGACTCTTCACGTGGCCAATATCCAGAAGATCACATACTGCAGAAAGCCAAAAGGAACTCTTAGAAATTAGACTCTGCAAACAATGTGACACAGAAACCTTTACTTAGTTCTACCCTGTACGACTATCCTCAAGCCTTCATCTCCTCTTTGTCCCTACCTATCACACAGGACAGAAACAGTTTCCTATGGATTTGCATTAGTTCCAGTGCTAGAGAATTACTTTTCTGCATAAAACAGGAGTTTCTAAAATATATTCTGAGGATCCCACCAAGTCTCTAACAAGAGAGCACCAGAGGCATCTAGCCTTGCAATGGTCAGTATCCTTCCTACTACCCTTCCTAGCCTTTTATACAGCACCAGCCAAAGAACTTGACAGCCAAGCTGACAAGCCTGTCTTATTTTCAGGTACCTAGGGAAAAATGTTTTTGAAACTGATTGTTTTTGTGGATATGGACTGTTACTACTATTAGAAACTTCATTTCTAACTATCTACGAAGTGTGAAACCAGTGAAACACAGTTGTAAGCAGAACTATTATAAGCCACCTACAGAATTAGTGAGATTGAAAATTAGACAAAACTAAAATGTTCATTTTTTTGTTTTGTTCTGTGCATTACATTCTTTTGGACATTAGGAAGCATTTCTTTACCAGGAGGGTGGTCAAACACTAGAAAAGGCTTCCTAGAGAGGTGGTCGATGCCCCAAGCCTGTCAGTGTTTAAGAGGCATTTGGACAATGCCCTTGGTCAGCCCTGAATTGGTCAGGCAGTTGTACTAGATGATCGTTGTAGGTCCCTTCCAACTGAAATAGTCTATTCTATTGTCAGCATTATATGCCTACTCAGTTTCAAACAGTCTCAAACTTCTATTTCTTGGACCAAATGCAGTTTTTCTCAGCCCAAGCTCTTACGGCTTTCTTACTCATGCTTAACTCATTCTTAACTCATGCTTATCTATCAAAAAATTCTTTTCCTCAACAGAAAGGAGTGAGTCTACAATACCATTTACATTTCGGTCAGCAGTATAGTTTTGAAGCTCAATAATTTACCAAGCTTTGAAGACAGAGATTACCTTTGAGGAAAACTACACGAGAGTATGAAATCCAGGAGTACATCTAACACTAAACATACCCACATCTAGTGGGTGTTGAAACTACAGGACCAGATTCCCAGTGTTGCACAGGTAACAGGAAAGATGAAGGTGTATTCTCTTTATGCAAAAACGAACCTCTCGGGAACAAAGCACAATAGCTTCCCCAGCCTGATCTTGGCTTGTCAGACTACTGCAAAAGTGGTACACTGCTGTGGTGAAAGCACTGTGCTTCCATCTAGGCAGTTACATAGAAGAGCATAGAGCAACAGGCACTGCTCAGAGTGAACAATATAGGTTATGAATGTTTTCTGCTGTCTCTTTTACTCTTTGGGTTTTTTCCCCCCAATTCAATATTCAGAAGAGAAATGCCTACTTAAGATAAACACCTTGACTGTATAAATAGCTCTGAAAGTGGAATAAGGAGAAGTCACCAACTGACATTTTCAGAACCATCATGAAAAAAAGTCAGCTTATAGTAAATAAATGGCCAAAGTAAGGGCTGAACAAGAGCATGATCATGCATCAGAAGCACAGTCAAAACACAGGGATGCATGAGCTGTAAGCAATCTGTTTCACTTCCGATCACCTACTTTTTGGTACCATCTGCAGGGTTGATAGCACTTAAAATGTGTGGAAAATAAGGCCATATTTCAGATACTGAGTTGTGAAGGTTATTTATTAACTCCTAAATTATTTCTTTAGTATTTTCAGGTGTATCCATTTTTACACCATTTCAGCACTGTCCAGCACAATTGCTTCTGAAGACTAATAATTATTACCTAGTAAATCCATTCTGCATAAGCTCTCTTTGAAGTTTCTGGTCTTGAGCAGCATATTCCTGAAGCTCAGATTCCACAGCAGGGGGTAGAATATTTGGGATGAATTTAGAAAATAAAGCTGGTGCCATCTGTACCCATTCTGTAAGAAGAGGGAAAGCAACAACAAAACATGCGGAAGAGATCTTTTGTGAAAATTTTACTCTTTGACAATGTAACTTTGCTCTATTTTAAATACATTTTAGGATCTTGAATTAAAACAAACAAACAAACAACCCAAAACCATCCCCAAAACCCAAAAAAACCAAGCCTTAAAGCAGAACAAGTAATCAGCCTGTTAAAATCAGATGTTTACATGTAGATAAAGGAATTACTATTTTTTTGGTTATCAACCTCATCATCAAATTGAAATTTCAGTTCTTGCTGCATGTCACAGGGCCTGCTGAGTCTCTGAACACTCTCAAGGACAGGCACTGATGATCAGCAAACTCACCTTGATAATCTGATCATTCGTAACACTTTACCCTGGGAAATGTATTCACAAAACTCACACCTCTCTTCCCTGAGCCTTACTTCTAGAAAGCACAGTAATATCACCATACGACCCTTCTCCATCCCCCATTTCGTATGAATTAATGCAATTCTCTCACTGGTCTTCCAAAGCTTAGATGAACACTTTGTTAATGTTCATTACATAATTTTAACCTGTATTAGTTCAGCTTCAGGATAGAAATGTGATTTAATTTCACTACACTGAACATTGCCTTACAGGAGCAAGACAGTTTACCTTAAAGCTGCTTCAACGCTGATTATAAGAAACACAGAAGACTGAGCAAAGGATGAAAATTGGGTTTATAGCAACTGTTAAGAAGTTCTGAGAAAAAATAAATACTCCTCAAGTATTTCTGAAGCCAGGCTTTCCAGAGATTGTAGCAGTTATCTTAAACTTCATCTTTACTTGGAAAAAATGGATGCTTTTAAATATATTCACTAAGGCACATCACAAGTTTTTATCCAATTCCTACATATGTTTACTTGGTCAATACCAAGCTTCAACAGTCTTTAACCAGCAAGCTCACTACATAATCATTACTAGTGTACAGGTGTTTTAAACAGAAACCAATGCGCTAATCTCCTTCATCATAGAATAATACAATCATTTAGGTTGGAAAAGACCCTTAAGATCATCAAGTC